GCTCCAGGCTCTGGCTGTCAGCACAGAGCCCGACGCGAAGCTCGAACCCTTGGACTGCGAGATCATGACCTGAGCCGAAGTCAGATGCTTACCCGACTGAGCCACTGAGGCGCCCCCCTTTCCAGCTCTTTAGAGATGTTCTGTTGTCTTTTGGCTTCTACTTCTTTTTTTTTTTTCTTTTAATTTTTTAATGTTTTTTTTAAAAATTATTTCTTGAGAGAGAGAGAGAGACAGCATGAGCAGGGGAGGGTCAGAGAGAGAGGGAGACACAGAATCTGAAGCAGGCTTCAGGCTCTGAGCTGTCAGCACAGAGCCCCACGCGGGGCTCAAATCCATGAACTGTGAGATCATGACCTGAATCGAAGCCAGACGCTTAACCAACTGAGCCACCCAGGTGCCCCACTTTTAATTTTTTTTAATGCTTATTTCGTTTTGAGAGACAGCAAGTGGGGGAGGGGCAGAGATAGAGAGGGAGAAAGAATCTGAAGTAGGCTCCAGGCTCCAAGCTGTCAGTACAGAGTCCGACATGGGGCTCAAACTCACGGACCATGAGATCGAGACCTGAGCCGAAGTCAGATGCTCAACCGCCCGAGCCACCCAGGCACCCCATTGGCTTCTGCTTCTGATGAGAAATTGTTACTCATATGTTCACATCTGTATATGTAGATTGTTCTACTCCAGCTGCTGTCAAAGCCAGATACTGTTTAAAGGTGGTAAAAACACATTTTATTCAGTAATCACAGTGGTAGGAGAAGAGCTGAGCTCAATTTTGATTTGCAGAGGTGACTGGGAGACTGGGGGAGTAGGGCAGGGGAGGGAGGTGGATTGAATAGAGGCTTGACCAGAGTTAGGGAACTGAAAAGTTAACCAAAAAAAAAAAAAAAAGAAAAGGGTAGGTGGGTTCGTTGGTCAGTGTCAATGTGAAGAGGCCATCTGTGTCAGCTAAATGGCTTTTCTCAAGTTAGGCTTCTACCCTCTCTTTGAGGGTAGCCTTGGTGACAGAGGCCCTGTCCTTTCTGATGACTGATTACATTTCAAAGGCATGGATTTCAGGTCCTTCTGAAAGACACTCCTGAGTTGTAGGAGTACATAATACATCTCAAAGAGACAGGAAAAGGATTGACTAGTGCAAGTTTTTAAAATAAATGCTCTAAAAAGGAAGCCAGGGGCCTATGGACAAGTGTTGGCTGGAACAAATGGTAAATTCTTTTGTCTGCCTTGACCTTTTCCAAACAGAAACTCCAAAGGCTCTGTGTCCTACAAGGGACTTGACCTCCTGCTCCTAGAAGCCCTGCTAGAGCTTAGCTAAGCGTCTTAAGTGCAGGAGCTGAGATGGAGTTCTTGTGCCAAGAGTTTTGCAATTCTCGTCATTTTGAAAATTTGCTTTGTTATCTTTTTAACATTTTGACAATAATGTGCCCAAGTGTGATTTTCTTTGTAGTTAAACTGTTTGTTCGTCACGGAATTTCTTAGAAGTATAGGTTTAATTTTTCACTGAAGTTGAAGATGTTTTAGCCGTTATTGTTTCAAATGGTTTTTCTGGTTGGTTCTTGCTGCCTCTCGGAACTGCACATGTTACTGAGGCTGTTCATTTTGTTATTCAGTCTTTTTCATTTTGCTGCTTCTGCTTTCATAATTTCTATTGCCTCGTCTTCAAATTGACTGACGCTTGTGTCTTCTCCAACCATCAGGTTCATTTTTTATTTCCAGTTTTGTAATTTGCAGTTCTAGAATTGCCGTTGATTCATTACTATAGTGTTCATCACCCAGCTGAGATTCCTGTCTTTTCATTACGTCTGTGAACATATTCATAGTAGTTACTTTAAAATCCTTGTCTCAGGATTTAGAGGATCTATTTCTTTCAGCTCTTCTTTCTCTTGACTAAGGAGTACATTTTCTTATTTCTTCATATGTTTAGTAATTTGTGCTTTTATACTGGATATTGGGATGTAATATTGTACAGACTAAATTTTGTTACCTTCTGAAGAGTTTTGATTTTTGTTCTAGCAGATAGGTTTGGTTGGCCGCAAAGTCTGAACTGCCTGCTTCTGATATAAAAGCAATAGTTGAGAGAGATTTTAGGACTTGGGGTTTTCAGACTTCCAAGTGCATGTTTTTGGCAGGCTGCATAGTCTCCCCATGTATGTAGTTGAGAAGCCAGTCGGGGATTTGGGCAGAGTTCATGCTCATATTTTGATTTCTTTTTTTCCCCCACGGCTTCTTCTTTACAGGATTTCCCCCCTTCTTTTTTCAGCCTCTCTGGCAGCCCTAGATCCATTCTCTGATCGTTTGTGTGAGTCAGTAAAATTGTGGTTTCCTGCATAAGGTCTAGTTGCCCTGCCTAGCTTAGCTCCCTTGGATATGGAGGCACATAAATGCATCTCATCCACTTTCCCTTCTTGCAAAGGTGGACTTTCCTTTCATTTGGTCCTTTTGGTTTCTCTCTACTATTTTCAAATGGTTGATTTTATGATATTTTGTTCAGAAGCTGTCATTTTTATCTGAAGGAAGGTTTGCCTAATTAAGACTTCTGTAGGCAGAACCTCTATTTTGTTTGTGTACTCTTTTGCTAATTGTATACAGTTTCCATTGAGAATTTATAATGTCTTTCAGAGTTTTGTACTCTTCTTTGTTAATGTTTTACTGGTTGGGGCTCCTGGGTAGCTCAGTCAGTTAAGCGTCTGACTTTAGCTCAGGTCATGATCTCACAGTTCGTGAGTTCGATTCCTGCATTGGACTCTGCTGACAGCTCAGAGCCTGGAGCCTGCTTCTGATTCTGTGTCTGCCTCTCTCTCTCTGCCACTCCTCTGCTTGTGCTCTCTCTCTCTCTCAAGAATAAATAAAACATTTTAAAAAAAGTTTTCCTGGTCATTCTTACTTATTTTGGTATATTTGTAGTAACTTTGAGCTTTTTATTGAGATTGCATCAGATAAGAAATTTGGCAGAATTGATGTCACTATGATGTTGTGTTCATTAATAGGAAGATACTTGGTATTCTCTTTGCTTAGTTTGCGTTTGTGTTCTTTAGTAATAATTAAAATGTTTCTTTGTGTAGCTTTGCCACATTTATACTTACATTTATTCCAGATGCTTCATGTATTTTGTTATAAATTGATTCTTTTAAAAAATACTTTTTCTTATATAAACAAGCAAGAATTTTACTAGCCAGAAGCAAATTTATTATTTTTAAGTAAACTTTCCAATTTTGGAGAGAGAGATTACAACAAACAGTAGAACTGAGGCTTGTATGAATATACCTTGTGAGGCAAGTTAGGAAGTGGCTGAGTTAGGCTTGGGATCTGGGTTGGCCTGCCTGTTGATTGATTGCATGTTCTGAACAAGGACCGGTGATCATTTTCTGATTTATTTCAAGCCTTGAATAAAAGCACAATTTAAGCTTTTCTCTCTTTTAGATTCTGGTTCTGTGTCAGTGTCAGAATTCCTTTAGTGAAATTGTCATTCTATTCTCATAAGAGCAGAATAGCCTCTCAATCTAATCTTTTGTTCATCATTCTCCTTGGATTATTTTCAAAGGCGTAAGCTGTATACTTTCCCTTCTGTGGTTTACATTCAGATTTCATTACACTCTAGAATGTAGGTGATTTTGTTATGATTTAAACTACATGGTGTTCTATGTTTTCAATAGATATTTGATAGATATAAGAACCATGTATGGTCATGGGTTTTATAGTCAGTACATCTTTGGGGAAAAAAAGATTTAAATTATTTTCTAGTTTCTTGACTTTTTCTGACTTTTCCTAAAAAACGTGAGAATGTGTAAAGTATCTTAAAAGGGTGGTGGGGAGTATCTAAAAATTTATTTGTAAAAGTTGTGGCCCCCAAGGCAGGGCCTGAAATGTGTCCTTTGCCCCTGGAGCCCTGCTGCATGGGGCGGGGTGTTTTTGGCCACAGGAAGACAGCACTTCTCACCATTGTCTTTTGAAATGTTGATTCACTTAGCTCATTAGCAGTGTGCACCTGGAGTTAATTGTTTGATTTTTATTTTCAACAATTGTTTTGAAACGATTCTTCCTCCTCTTTGGAAATTTTGATGATTTTGTAATATGAGAGAGATGGAGTTTGAGTTTTGATTCTGTAAAAGTACCACTTCTGACCTATTGACCAGTGAAGAGTTCCATTCCAGACTGCCTTTGAAGCTCTCCTTCCCCACCTCCCACAGATAAGAAGTTACTTTGAAATACATTGTGCTAGGGAAAATAGGGAAAAATTATCTCTGAGCTGCTGATGTTCTGGAAAGAGATGTGGAAGAAAAAGTTTGAGATCTTTCTGGCCTGTGTCTTTCAGGTGCATTGATTTTTTTTGAAAACTAGACACAGCAGATTTTTTATATTCATACTGCCGTTTAAGAATTTGGTACTTTGACATATCTTTAGTCCTCACAACAGGTTTTCAAAACTTTTAAGGTGGTATTATGCTCTATTAGAATAACGTCAAAATGCATTTCCTTCTCCTTTGTAGTAATAAGAGAGCAATAATAACTTCTGGTAAAACTGAATATGTGAGTTTCTCAGACAAATAATGTGAAAATATTAACTGTGAATATGTATCTAATTTAAGTGAAACTTTTCCTGTATTAAAAAGACCAGTTGACATCCATTTTTAGATAAGTTGTTAAACTAGATTGTAAAATAATGCACTGTTAGTAAGGCTAATGGCATAGGTATTAGACCTTTTGTTGTGAGTAGTGGAAATTGGAAAGGGCATTATAGGTATGATTTCATTAAGCTAGAGAGCATTGGTGTTCACATTTTTAAAACATAATCATAACTTATCTGGAGTCACATGTTCCATTTTATTGGCTTCCTTCATATAGAAAATATAGAAACCAGCACTAAAAGCCTGTGAAAAAGTGAAGCGATGTATATATTTTCTGGGTGAAGGAAGTATTCTGTACATTTCCCATGTTTTACATCATGGTATTTTGAATAACCATGCTTCCATGTTCACATCAATTTTTTGTTTTTCAATTTATGCACAGCACTTGCTCTGAAATTTGGGGACTGAGTACACCAAATACGATAGATCAGTGGGATACAGCAGGCCTTTACAGCTTCTCTGAACAAACCAGGTGAATATTCTGCCCTCTATGGAATCCTAGCAATCTTGGGGCGGGGGGGTTGTTTTGGAAGACCTGTAATGGGTTGCTCACTATCATTTTGCCTAGGATGTTTCCTTAATGTAAATAAGGCATGGCATTTAAAATACCTGCATGCCAGTATTAATGATATATATTAAATGTGTCAGCTGCTGTTTTGATCAATGAAATTCTAGTTTTGAATCTTCCTTAAATTACTGCATCCCCTAAAGAATAGGAACTTTGATAATAACTATATTCTCATTTGATTTTGAGATTAGATTATAATCTGTTGTTGGCCTAATATTCAAGTAGATACCTAACGAGTTTTTGCTAAATTTCTTGCTATCGTCTAAAACTCATCTTCTTTATACTAATAAGTACGTAGATATTTACCAAACCCCTTCTATCACAGTTTACGCGAGGCTAACTCATTTTTTATGTTCTCTTTTTTTAAAAGTCACCTTATTCTCTTTTTGAGCATATTGGTATTTGTCCATTTCATCTCATCATACTCATCACCATCTGCATATACGTGTGAGCTGTAGGAGTATACCTTGGTACTCAAAACAATCACAACTGGGTAATGAATTACATTGGTTTGAGTAAGTTACTTTACATCATTGTTGGTACTTAACCATTCTTCCCACTAGTTCCTTTTGTTGATAACTCAGTCACCTACAGTATTAATGCCCTTCAAAGCATCCCTAAATAAGAGTTTGATTTACTCAAGATAGAAGTTGACAAAAAGTTTTTTGAGCATACTCTTTGATCCTTTTTTAAAAAAATCAATTTCCTCCCGAGTGGTTAGCCATTCATTGACATCTGAGCCATTTATGTAGCATATTTATGAGAAACATCTGTAGTGCTGCTGCTTAATTTTATATTAGACCCATTAAATAGTACATTTTTCTTCCTTGTACTCACTAAAACTAACTAAATGTCTGTCATTCCTTTCTTTATGCTCTTGTTGTATTAATTTAGCCCAGTCAACTGCACCTACTTTTTTTTTTTTAAAGTTCCCACGTTTCTTTCCCCTTGCTTCTCGACAGGTCTCTGGATGGCCGCCTGCAAGTGTCTCATCGGAAAGGACTGCCGCATGTGATATACTGCCGATTGTGGCGCTGGCCTGACCTTCACAGTCACCATGAACTCAAAGCCATTGAAAACTGCGAATATGCTTTTAACCTTAAAAAGGATGAAGTATGTGTAAACCCTTACCACTACCAGAGAGTTGAGACACCAGGTAGAAAAATTAGATTCGTTTTCCTTGTTTTAAATTAAATACTTGAACTTAAGTAAAGTAGGCACTCCTATGTAATTGACCCTGGGAAATTTTGGTGCAGAATTCCAAGAAATTACCTGAAATTTAGTGTATTATTTGGTGATCATTAAAAATACTTTTTAAATGTTTCAAATATGGGAAAATAAACCTTTTGAGGGTAAGAGTTGTCAGTTTCTTGGGCTAGCATACTATTTGACCTCAAAATTACATATCCAAGAAATTCTTTTTTTTTTTTTTTGTAATGTAATATTTATTTTTGAGAGATTGTGTGTGCATCAGCGTGAGTAGGGAAGGGGCAGAGAGAGAGAGAGGGAGACAACAGAATCTGAAGAGGGCTCTAGTCTCTGAGCTGTCAGCACAGAGCCAACGCAGGGCTCAAACTCACGAACTACGAGATCATTACCTGAGCTGAAGTCAGATGCTTAACTGACTGCACCACCCAGACACCCCTATTCAGGAAATTCTAATCCCCAGATTCACAGTTTGGTTGGAACTAAACTGGTACACCTCTTTACACGTCTGCTGCCTGAGCTGTTTTCAGTCATTTTGTTCTTTTGGTATTTTTTTGAAGTACTTTAATTGCATCGTCTGTATCTAAGCACATTAGTGAAATCCGTAGCAAGACTTTTAGTTTACTTAGCTGTGTACTTGAAAATGTTTAAAAGGATATATAGCTCCTCGTTCCAGAAATGGTCTAAATCTGACTTCACAGATCTTTCCACAACTTTCTCCAACGGGGATATATGAACTCTTACGGTGATATAATATTACCGGAATATCCTTGTTCCTCAGAGTATGAGATAAATTGAAACATGGACATTTAGATTCTGGACCACATGGCAAATTAAAACCAATCAGATTTGTCAGTTTCTCAAGAACTAGTATAATGCCAAATTGATGTACCCTAAATTCTAAAAACTAAGCAGACTAATTCCTTTTTTATGTGTGTGAAATTTTTTCATAAAGGTCTGGTCTGTCGTGCTTCCCTGGTGCCCATCCCGTACCCTTTGCCATTAACTCGGGTTCCTTTTCCTCTTTCAGTTTTGCCTCCGGTGTTAGTGCCGCGGCACACTGAGATCCTGACCGAGCTGCCTCCTCTGGAAGATTACACCCACTCCATTCCAGAAAACACTAATTTCCCAGCGGGGATTGAGCCACAGAGTAATTACATCCCAGGTACGTTCACCTTCTGCATCCCCTAAAAATCGGGATAGATAACAAATTTTGTTCAAACATTCAAGTATTATTAAATTGTGATTTGACTTTAAAAAAATGCTTTTGGGTTTTGAATAGAAACATCTACTTTGTTGGTTGATTATTTTGTGAAATGTATGAGCCTCATACTTTAAACACTTTTGTGTGGAGAAAAGTTTTACTTTATATTTCATTTTCTTTTGCAGTGGCTTTAATCAAAGTACTGTGAGAAGCAGAAAAGAAAAGATCTTAGTAAGTTTGTCTTAGTTGTTGAAGCTAAGAGAGATGCAGAATGTAAGCAAAATAACTGGTTCAGGAAAAAGGTATACCTGAAGCAGGTGTGACTGCAAATCACCCAAATAATCATTTTTATAGAGTTTGCTATTGTTCAAGAGAAATGTAATATGCCTTACAGGAGATACGATATTTGAGTTCCTACAGATGTAGCTACACTGCTGTACTACTGAAAATCATAAATCCTCTAATTTCTTTTTCATCTTGGCCTCAGTCACCTCTGCTGAGAAATGAATGAATTTAACTACATGGTCCTCAAATCCAGCTCAAATTACTGTATTATGTGATGTAGTAATACTCCACGATGCGTTTTTAGTTTTCACTGTTTTTAGGAGAGCTAGTATTTTCTAGCTTTTCTTACTTTCTTACTCTGTGTTTCCCATTTTTGTTTATTGCGGTTCCCCCCACCCCCCAGCAGAACTGAAAGGTACAATATTAGAATGAGGGTGGAGCTATACATCGGATATTTTAGTGTCTCACATTTTTTTTCTTCTTGTATAACATGTCTCCATTCCACTCTCATTTTGGACATCCAGCAGGAAATACATAAGGAACCTAGTTTCGGGTATATTTAAAAAAAGATTTCTTTAATATGTCTCATGGAATAATACTTCTTCATTGACAATTTTTAAAACATTAAAAAAGATTTTTTAAAAGTAGCTAATTTTAAAGGTAGAAAGTGTTTCCTGATTGTTTTAATGTGCATAATTTCTTTACGATTCTTTTGTTCCAAAGGAGGGTTTAAGACTGCTTTTTAGGTTGCTAGGAAACACACTTTTTGAGAAGTTAGGAGGGAAGGGCCTAGGGTGGGGTTGGGGGGAATGTGAAGACCAGCAGGGAAGGCAGGGATGAAACAGGTCACTTGCTAAGGAAAGACTTGGCTGGAAGTGGTTATGTGTGTGGAGAGTGGGGGGCGCATTTTAAGTCTTTGATGTAGGAATTCCTATTATTCAACAATACTAGGAAACCGGGACGTAAGCATACAGTCTTGTAAGACACCTACCCAGTAATTATTTGGAAGGCTGATAATCAAAATGGTTAGTGGTTTTTACTTGTGGAGATGCTTGGGTTTATTTTCCTTTCTTTCTTTGTTTAGATTGGTTTATTTTACAAAGCAGAAAATCAAAAGTGAATCACACCTATTTGCTTTTCTGAACAATGGGGCTTTACACAGCTCCAACTGACAGTGAAAGCTAAGGGTTCACATTTTGTTCCACTTCAAAGGAAATTTTAGTATTTTCTCCAAAATGGTAATAGCTTTGTTATTTATTATTTTATAGATAATAATGGAGAAAAGTAAAACAGGATAAGGTATTTAAAAGTTCAGTATTTCTTCCTGTTTAGACCTTTGAGACATAGACAGTTAAACTGGCAAAGCTTAAGTCTGTTTACTTTTATTAGCTTTAACCTTTAAGATAGTGCATATTGATGTCCATTATTCTTATTTTTGTGTTCTTTATTGCTTGAGTATTTGAAGATACTTTATTCTGAGAATTTCATCAATAGCACTTTTAGGGTATTGACACTTAATGAAGAGTTGAAACTTCAGTTCAAATTTACAGTTAGCTTGTTGAAGGGAGAGTGTAAAGGGTTAAACAAAGGAGCCCTTTAACCCACATTCTCTCCCTCTCCATTTTGATAATTACGTTATCCTGAATTGCTTATAACTATCCAGCCATGTAAATGTTGAACTGTTGATAGTCACTTAAACTTAGTTGGCCTCCTTAAAGTTATATTTGGTAAAATTATATAAATGTATTTATTTCATACAAAGCTTATTCAGCTCTTCAGATGCCTCCTGAATGTAAACATTTTGTTCATAAAGCATCTTGGAAATGACACATTAGAATCGTATTTTCTTATTTTCAGGGAGTATTTTACCTCAGGTTTGTGCAGTAGTCTCCACTGCTTGGATTTAAATTTCTGCTTCAGACACTCAGGATTTACTGGTTAGAAATTCCTGGAGAAATATACCTTTTAGTTGTAATTCAAGCTAGATCAGTCCTGAACCATGTTACTGTATCTTGCCCCATTGAACCCAATGTGAAGCCCATTATTACTTTGTAATCTGAAATTTCATGTGTGTGGTATGTTGTGTGTTACATCCTTTAATCAGCTCTTATGTATACCCATCCATGATGGCCACTAGTTTAAAAAAAAAAAATTGTAGGTACTAATGTCTTTGAAGCATGCTGATTCAGTACCCAGGTGTCTTTGAAGTTCTGTTTTTGGCTCTTGCCCCAGAAAATATCCATATGGGAATGAGCCAGATATGTAAATAATAGCTGAGAAAATATGCCTCAAGAGCTTGATCGTATTACAAGTAGGCATTAAGGATTCACCTATAAAATTTGGATCAAAACCTGAATTTTCAGCCCTTAGTACCAAATAATAGCCTTTCATAATCATGTTATATAATATTTGTATGTATTATTCAGAGTGACTCTTCGGTTATCTTTGGTAGCAGGACAAAGGTGGTGAGATGAGATTGCAACTGTGCTTGATTTGTTCTGAACTTTTGTAGAAACGCCACCTCCTGGATATATCAGTGAGGATGGAGAAACAAGTGATCAACAGTTGAACCAAAGTATGGATACAGGTAAAACTTACCTTTCAAAATTCCTCAACAGCGAGATAATACATTTTTGCCTTATTTGGAATCCACAAGAATTATTTATAACTTTTTTTTAATGTTTGTTTATTTTTGAGAGAGAGAGAATGAGTAGGGGAGGGGCAGAGACAGGGGGAGAGAGAATCTGAAGTAGGCTTCAGACTCTGAGCTGTCAGCACAGAGACTGATGCGGAGTTTGAACTCACGAACAGTGAGATCCTGACCTGAGCCAAAGTTGGAGACTTAGCCAACTGAGCCCCCCAGGCACCCCTAATTTATAACTCTTAAATTTAGAGAAGTTGGGATATGCATCCAAAAATGAATCTTCTATTTTGATATAATTGTATTTGAACCATTGAAGGGAGAGCCCTGTTGTCAATGAAAAATTAACACATGTTGTGCAGAATAATTGTTACAGGTTAGATTAAATGAAAATTTGAGAGGACTAAACTACTTTCCTTTTTAAGTATTCTGTACTTCTGTTTAAAGTTTTAGTTACCCAGTGAAAAAAATGTGTTTGTGGTGAAAAGCCATAATGAACCCAGTAACAGATTTTCTGAGGAATTTGCAGGTGAGGGATGAGGATCAGCTTTTCAGTGCTTTTTTTTTAATGTTTATTTATTTTTGAGACGGGAAGAGAGAGAGAGAGCATGAGTGGGGGAGGGGCAGAGTGAGGGAGACACAGAATCCAAAGAGGCTCCAGGCTCTGAGCTTTCAGCACAAAGCCTGACATGGGGCTTGTGCTCACGAACCCAACCGGGAGATCATGACCAGAGCCGAAGTCAGATGCTTAACTGATTGAGCCACCCAGGCACCCCATCGTACTCCTTTAACTTAAGAGTGAGTTCTGCATGATAGTAAATGGTTTACACAAAATACCTTGTACCTGAGCAGATTCAATGAATTCCTAATTTTTAGCTATCCACTCCAGATACAGTGGAGAAAAAGTTTTAGTGTGTAATAAATGTTATGTGTCAAAGCCTTAAAACAGTTCTTCTGTAATAAAATGTATAAGCCATCAGAACGAATTAGGTTGCAGGTGAAGTAGTTGTGTTGACATGGTGATTGTCTGGTGTCCTCTGTTTCTCCCTGTGTGCCATCTTAACGATTGGATGCTTTAGTATCACAGCCTGTCAAATTACGCCATCAGCTTTTCTACACAGTTTATACTAAAGCATTCTGTAGTTATGATAATCTAAGTTATTTTTAAACAAATTAGCATTGGCGGGAGTGGGGGCCTGGGGCCTGGCTTTCACAATAATTCTGTTGTTTAAATCTTTCCATTATTTAGACTCCCAGATAAAGAAGCTTCTGCTATAGCAGATTATACTTGTAACTGTTCAGAGTAGTAGATAACCAAGAAATGCAGATAATGTAATGATCACTGGGAATAACAGTACATCTTAATGCACATACCTTGCTGCAAATGATATTTGGCTTTCCAAATACATCTTCCTAATACGCCTGTATGCCAAAGATCTGTATTCTTGAACCAGTCGTGTTCCTTTTTGCCCCATCATGGACAACTGCCACTCTGACATTTAAAAATGAATGCCAGGAAAAGATGCTCAACATTATTAGTCATCAGGGAAATGCAAATCAAAACCACAGTACCATACCGCTTCACCCCACTGCTTTGGCTATACTCATAAAAAGATGACGGCACGGACAAGTTGGAGTCTTCATTTGTTGCAGGTGGGAATGTAAAGTGGTTCAGTTGCTTTGGAAAAGTTTGTTGTTTTTTAAAAAGTTAAACATAGAGTAACAGTATGACCCAGCAATTTCACTCCTCGATGTGTAACCAAGAAAATTGAAGACACGTCCACACTAAACTTGTACACCAACGTTCACTTAAGTATTATCCATAGTAGTCCAAAAATGGAGGCAGCCCAATTGTCCGTCAAATGATGAATGGATAAATTAAATGAGGTATGTCTATGTGATGAAATATTATTCAACCATATAAAAGAATGACGTACTGATACGTGGTACAACAAAGATGAACCTTGAAACATTATATTGAGAGAAGCGACACACAGAAGGCCACAAGGATTCCAGTGAGTGCACAGATCTCTATTTGATCATAAGGCTGACACAGGGGAGGAGCAATGAGGTGGAGATGATCATTGGTTATGATAAAGGTCAAATTTGAGAAGGGGAGAATATGCGGAATCAACTACAGTGGATTCCGTGTTTTGGGGTCTTGCTTTGAACCTAAGCTAATATTTCTAATCCCGTTTCCGTGGGGAAATGTTGCCTTTTCCAAATGATACATGTCAGTTACTTCCTGTAATGACAGTGTGCATATTTGATTCATGAGGTGCTAAAAGTTGGTTTAACTACCAGGCTCCTACCCGCTATCTACTCCTCTCTCAGTGCTTGTAGTGAGTTCTGACTGGAGCAGGACCCCCATTTAGAGCAAAACTGAACCCTCTTTAAACTCTGGTTTTTTAGAATTGTGAGAGTTTTCTAGATACTTAATAGATTTCTAACTTACTTCTATTACGGTCCAAAATAACATGTATGATTTCAATCTTTAGAAATTTACTAACAACTGTTTTATGCCACAGTGTGGCTTCTTTGTGTAGATAAGAGTTCCATGTATAGTTGCAATGAATGTCTGTTCTGCACATGTCATGTTCTCTACATCACTTAGGGTATGCGTGATGGTGGTGTTTAGCTCTTCCTAATCCTCTTTCATTTTTTCCTGCTTGTACTGTCAGTCATGGAGAGGAGTGTTAATGTCTCCGACTTGGATTTTGGATTTGTCCTTCTCTTCCTTTATGCCTGTCTGTTTTTGCTTCATGTATTTTGAATCCCAGTCATTGCCAGGTACACATTTAGAATTATTATGTCCTCCTGATGAATTTGACCCTTGTTATAAAATGTGTCTCCTTTTAACATCACCATTTCTTATTCAGTGGTTGTATGGTCAGCTTTTCATCCTTTGGTTTGTATCTTTATGTTTAAAATGTGTCTCTTCTGGACAGCATTGTCTTTCCTACTCTATCAGTCTTTTTTTTTTAATTGGAATATTTAGTCTCTCTTTATTTCATGTAATTATTCCTATCATTGGGTCTGGATTACCAGTTTGCTGTTTCTTTTCTCTTTGTCCCATCCCTGTTTTTTGTTCCTCTATGTATAATTTGCCTGCCTTCTTTCACAGTCATCAAATATGTTTGTTTGAATCCATTCTGTTCACTCTCTTGACTTTTTAACAGCACTGCTTAGTAGTATTCTCAGAGTGTTCTAGTGATTACGATGTATATCCCAGTGTGATTACCTTCTCCTTAGATTGCTAAGTTGTGACATTTTACAGTTTCATGCGCAGCGTAAGCATTTTACAGCACTAATTCCATTCGCCAAACTCTGTTATTTGTGCTTCTATTGTCCTTTATTTTACTCCTATGTGTGTATAAACCCTGAAGTGTGTTATTTTTCCTTTAGACTTCGAGGTGGTGCTGGTGGTTTCTTTAAAGGGTTAAAAAATAACCTTTTGTGTTTACCTACATATTTACCATCTCTGCCCTTCCTTCCATCCCCTGGACATTTGTCCAGTCGTTTTGGCGCCATTTGTTGAAGAGATGTTTCTTTCTCTGTTGATTGACCTTGGCTTCTTTGTTGAAATTCAAATGATGTATAACAGGGCCTAACTTTTGGTTTGCTTTAAGCCAGTTCAGTGAATTCATTTCAGATTATCTATTTTTCAGTTTTACAGTTTCCAGTTTAAAGTCTATATCTGGTAATTCCAGTATTTGCTTCACATGTAGATCTGCTTCTGTTGACTTTTATCTTTGCATGAAGGGTCAGTTTTTCCTGCTACCTTGTATACCTCATGTTGGTTTTTAATTGGTCGCTGAAATAATGCTAGAGAGCCCTACCGATCGTATTCTCCTTGGAAAGCCTTCCGCTTTTCTCTCTGGTTGCCAAGTTAAGGAGCTGATCTTTTCCACACGATTAGGAGTTGAGTTGGATGGATGATGATTTGATGTTTTAATTAATGTCACATCACCACAAGCTTGAAGGTGGGGGCAGCCTCCTCCCTCAGCAGGTTTTCGGATAGGAGTGTGGCAAGGCTGCAGGGTCTCTCGCTGCTTTCCAGCCCTGCCCCGAACCCCTCGTGCTCCCCCGTACTCTGCTAACGGCCTGTGGGTTAGAATTGAGTTGGGAAGAGGACTACGTCCATGCTTGGGCTTTCAGACTCCACTTACCCATGCGTGGCCATTAAAATGTTTGTTGGTTTTTCTTTCGGCAAGCCCAGTCCTATGCATGTCTGTGTCCTGACTTGGTGGATGCTCTCAGCCATGAAAATGGTTCCTGCTCTCTGCTTACATAGGAAGACCTCATCCCCCTCTGCAAACTAGTGCACTTAAACTTCATAAACCAATCTCCAGCTTTTTGGTAACTCTAAAGGAAAATAGAATTTTGTGTGTGTTTCCAGTATTTTCTCACGGTTATTTTAGGAGTCAGGGTTTTCCTCCATCTTCTGTGTTCTAATTATAAGGGAAACCATGTTAGAAGTTATTAATAAAAACAAAAGCATCTTTATTCTCATCAACAGAATTTATGTTTGTTGAAAATTTAAAAATGCATAGAACATAATTTTTTGAGCTGGAATTGACAGATTACATGTCTTTTTTTTTCCTTTTTGCTTTAATATTTCAACCATTCTATGTCAAATGGAGAATATTTTACAGCTGAAATTATGCTGCAACATTTTGAATTCTATAAGTGGGTGTTCATTATAAAAAGTTAAAGAGCGGTTAAAAAAATAAGACATTCCATGTAATTTACATCATCTAGCAGTAATTATACTCTTAATTTTAAAAGGTTCAGTGTTTACCAAGAATAAAAATGAAAACAACATTGCAGTGAACATCATAGAAAAAGAGCTAGAAAGTGGCAGAAAAACGCACCTAGGATTCAGATTCTAGATACCTCATTCTTGACTACTGCACTGGACTTGTTTTGGCTGCTTTCATGACATG